CTTAGGCTTTCTTTTTGGTGGAAAATGTAGAGTTGCATATATATCTGATGTCTCACGCTTTCTTCCAAGTACAGAGTTTTGTGAGTATTTTAACTCTGTCTAACTCTTGCTCTTCAAGCAATTTTATCTTTAAACAAAATCCAATCTTCATCATCAGTCATCATGATGGACACCTTAATCCTAACTAATGGGGTGGGTGCCATGAAATTTAGTGTCAAAGAAATTTAAAACATTAGCCAACACTACACATTTTTGCAAAAACTAAAATAAAAGTCAGCGCTAAAGTTTCCTTCTTATGGAGGAACATTGGATGAATGAGGTTGAATAAATCATTTTACAGATATCTCAAGAGATAGCGGTCAGCAGTTGGATCTGCTTATCTTGGATAACCTTTACAAGGTGAGCCCTGCAGCCATATTTTGACTTCAAACCAAAATTTCAAATTTTCTTCACATTTCTATTTTTTCCTGGTTTTTACTTGTTTTTTTTACACTATTCCTATCCCTCTATCAATTTAATTTAAGGGCATTTTTCTTCAATTTCTGCAGACAGGGTCCCACAATGTTCACCTGTGCTTCCCTCAGGTTCACATACCTTGTACATGTCTTTTGTTTGTATTCTTAATACTCCGTAATCTGTATTAAAAATACTCTAATAGCTTACATTGTAATGAGTGCAAAATATTCTCTTTGTAGACCCTTGAAGCTATTAAAAGACTATGCCCAAAGAGGGCCTTGTTAATAGGGATGACACATGACTTTGATCATCACAAAGACAACACATTCCTAATGGAATGGTCCAAAAGGTAGAACTTCTAAAGATTTCTTCTCACTGTTAGGGTATTGTTGGATCACAGAAAATGTTAGAGAAAGGATAGAAACTGCAAAGAAAAGTTAATTTTCAATTTTTTTCATATATTTATATTAATAAATCTTTATATGATAGAAAAATAAAATGAGTTTGAATAAAATCTAAAATGCTTTTCTTGAGTTTGTGTATATTTTTTATTTCCCCAAAAGATTTCTTTCCTTCCCATTTCTTATTTCACTCTCTATTTTCCATGTGATTTTCTATCTCTTGTATTTTCTACGTTCCAATTGGACTCTCAAGAACCAGGATTTGAAACTTTATCCTGTAACTTTGTTTCCAGGGAAGGAATACAAGTTCAGTTGGCATATGATGGGTTAAGGGTGCCCATTGAACTATAAAGAGCTACTCTGTATCATTGAACAAGTGAGCTTCTTTTCCCTATATTCTCATTTTCATGTTAGCATTTCCATCTGCTCATCACATTAGAATCTCTTTGGAACCCAAAAATTTCTAGGGATAAAAATAAGAAAGAGAACATACAGGATCACTAAAAAGTTGGAAAATGGGTGGGACCAATGTAATTGTGTATGTTAGAATGCATTTGTGGTATGACTTGAAGAGATAGAGTGCTCAACGAGGAAATTCAAGGGAAGGTGGGTGTTGGCATGTAGCCATTATTGAAAATAAAGTAACAGAGGATCAATTACATTGGTTCGAGCACAATAGTCATCAAGAAGTAGGTGTCCGCGTACAAAGAGTGGGGGAGTCTTGGAGTGTGGAAGACTTAAAGAGAAGCTGGGTAGACTGAAAATGACTTGAATTGAAGTAAGGCTTGGAAAACATCGCACAAATCGGAAACCCGGTTAGGCCGACCTGATATTTTTTATTTGGTCGGGCTTTAGGTGTTTTTGGTCATTCCAGGCTTTAAAACCTGACTTGAGCCGCTGGATCTGGGTAGCATTGAAGCTTAATGAGCATGTGGTGCATGGCAGAAACTGGAAAAGAAAATTTTAGGTAATGTTTGGGAACTAGAATAGTAGAATTCATGTGAAATCTTAGATTTTAATTCCAATATTTGAAATTCCATGGTTTCAAATTCCAAATGTTTGGAAAACAATAGAATTTCAATTCTAGAACTTGAATTTTGAAGTTGGCAAAGATTGAGACAAAAGCATGTTGATATGTTTGGAGTTGTTGTTGCATAACAGATTATGACTTTTTGATTGTAAGTTGTAATTTTTAGGAAAGTTAGTATTGGATTTGTAAATGACAGTGGGGAGATGTGGATTTGTAATTGTGTTTGTTTTGTATTAGAAGAATTTAGTCGAAATCCAAATCCAAATTTTTTTGAATTCCCAAACAAGAATTTTGGATCAAATCTGGATTTGAAATCCAAATTCAAGTTCCCAAACATAAGATTACTAGATTTTCTATTGGTTTATGAAGTTGACCCCATTAAGTTTGGATCAAGGGTTCTTTGTGGACTTGTATTTTTTTTAAGTGTTGTTGACTTGTATATAGGAGTTGTAAGTTTCAATACATTTTTTGAAGAAAAAAAACTAATAAGGTAGTGTTCAACTAGCATTTCATTTCAATTCATGCATTTCAATTCCAAAATTTGAAATCCTGAATTTCAAATGACAAGGGGAGGTGCATGGATTTCAAATTAAGCTTTGTTTTGAATGTAAAGAATTTGATTCAAATCCAAATTCCAAATGCTTAAGTTTCCCAAACATGGAATTTAAGTCAAATCCGAATTTGAAATCCAAATCCATGTTCCCAAACATACCATAAATTTATTTCTTTAACTTTTTTCTCGGGTAAAGCCAAACAAAAGAAAATAAATTTAAGGTAAATCTCTATTTTGATATTGAATCTTACTTCTTAATGCATATACTTATTCAGTATCTTACATGCAAAATTGTGTAAAATGTTATTTGAAAGACACCGGGTTAAAATGGGATTTAGAACATTAGATTGAGCATATACTACGTATATGTTTTCGAGGCATTAAATTTTTTTTCCAAACATTTATAGCATTGAACTTTATGAGAGGATCATTTTTTAATTTTTAGTCCGACCTAGAGCATTGCTTGCCATATTTACCCAAGGGAGAGTTAGTTATATGTTCAAATGGTCTAGCACTCTCTAAAATTTTAGAGCAACGGGGACTTTAGCCGGTAAAAAAAACGTACTAGTCATGCACCCGCCATGATCTTTCCCCATGAAAAGTATCTCATGTGATCACTGATGGAAGAGACCTTGTATTTTTCGATAAATAAACAGGGTTCACGCGAGTGATCTCTGATAGCATCCTTTTTTTGATTTTTTCTTGCAGATTTAACGTAAACCGTGAAGTTCAGCTCGCTCATTTGTACCCCCCGCCCCCCCAATTTTTGTTTCAAAGCATTCAGCATAAACCATGAAGTTGGCTTGTCCATTGTTGTACCATTATTGTCAATCCTGATTTGGGACTATACGCAAACATTGAAAAATGGTGACGAGGATACAAAGAGACAAGCAGAGGAAGAGATTGTATGTCTTTCTT